TCAGATGTCCCTTGGTGTAAGTTCATCCACTGGGATCTAGTTAATCTATCTAAAGTCAGTCCCCTAAAGAAGATCTACTGTCCCTCACCTTGCAGTAATCAGTTGCCAATAGTTCCTCAGCTAGGGTGGGGGCAACTGCCCATTTCCTCAGTTCTATGTTGAGTTTTTGTCTGAGTAGGCATGTGTCTTGTGCATACTGATACAATTGTTGCAAAGATTGCCATATTTTATTCTATTTCTGCAGAACTCAAAATAGCTTCCCCAAATCCTACACCGAGCATGGCAGACCTGTCCTGGGAAGTCAAGTGCTCTTGCATTTGCTTTGACCTGCTTTGGCCTCCATATACCCTGCATAATGCTATGCTGCTTGGATACATCTATGTGTCAGCAAAAGGGTCTGTTTAGATAATAAATCCAAGAAGGACCTTCTTAGGAAGAAGCTACAAAGACAAGTTTGTGTGAGAGTTTGGGAGAGGGAGCAGGTATCCAAAGAGCTGCCAACTTAATAATAATCATTACCCAATTTTTCTTCTGATAATGTCCATCATCTTTTAGTCCTAGTTCACTGAAGCAAGCTTCAACATGCATATTGATCCATGCCCCTGGGAACACTGAGGGTGCTCCAAGTCATTTTACTGGACAGGCTTTAGTTTTCCTATATGTAAAATAAGGGGTCTCACTCCATGATCTCTAGTCAAACCAACATTTTCTTTGTTGCCTGAAACAGTTTAGGAAGCTCTCTGCCTGTCAGTTTTATTTCAGTATCAGCTTGAAAACAAGCTTGAAATCCAGTTAAAAGTTCACACGTGGAACTTAAGCCTGTTCTAGGGATTGTACAGCTCTCTGCATCGTAGGGTGCTTTCTCTACCTGTCCTAATAAGTTTGATTGAGAGCTAGGAGGAAGAATTGAATGCTTAATTTTTGTCACTCCCTCCTTGAGTTTAGTTAAATCAGCTCTGCTCATATCCCCTTTGCTTATTCTTCATTGTGGAAATAAGATCAAAGTGATCAGGCAGAGTTAACTAGGGTCAGAACTGCAAAGTTGCAAAGGTGTTTCATGCTTGCCTCCTGTATTCACTTCCTCTTCTTTTTATGTCCCCCACCCCATTTCTTGTGTGTGTGTGTGTGTGTGTGTGTGTGTGTGTGTGTGTGTATGAGCATGGACACAAGTGTGTATGGATGTGCACGCAGCATGTGGATGCCCAAGGCTGATGTTCTGATGTTGGATCAACCCTATTCAAGTAGGTATGGCCTCTCAATCAAGCCCAGAGCTCATCTATATGACTAGTCTCACTTGCCAGTTCACTGTGGTGATCCCTCATCTCTTGCCTTGGAGGCTGGAGTTAGAGGTGGGTCTTCTCTTCCACTTGGGATTCACTTGGACCTGAATTTTGGCCCTTACACGTGCACAGCAAGTGTTTAACCATTGAGCTTTAGTCTCCAGACACTTTACGTTTTTTTTAAGTTACTGTTCTCTCACTCATCTTCCAACCCACCTAACCCCTTGTCTCTTTGGACACAGATAAAATTAATCACATGAAGTCTTTCACATTATTTTACACTAAGAGGCATTCAGGAAATAAGCTTTTCATTCTAACACAACCATAATGAATATATGCCCTTGGCTGGCAAATAATGATGAAAACTCAGGCATAGTCCTCTGGATGGCCACCACCTGGGAGATCCACAAACCATCAGCTAATCACAGTTACCCAATAGGATGGCCAGCACTTGAAAAAACTGGCAAATAAACCTCCTTGTATCAGAGAAGGTTTCTAAGTTCAGAGGTAAAATGTAAGCCCCTGATTATAGAGGTGTGGGGTAAGAGATCCAGTGAGAAGGAACAGATAGACAAAGGGTCAGAGGAAATGAAGATACTGGAACTTTCTCCTTTAATAAAAGAATAAATGCATTGTCAGAGAGTTTAAACAATTCACCTACAGTCACATAGAGGACTGAACTACAGGTTTCCTATTTCTTTATGCTATTATGGCCATCCTTGAAGTGTTTACTCTTTTAGGAGACGATATATCCTATGAATTGGACTCAGTTTTCCTACGGACTAAGCACAAACTCTATCAGTGAACTACATACCCAGTGTCTAGTGTCTGCTCTTAACAAAGGATTCAGTGAAAAGCATGCAAAGTAGTTATTAGAGAATGTTTCCGCTGGTGCACTCTGAGACCCTGCCCTGTAGACAAAGGAAAAACAGAACTGGCCAGATAGTCTTCTCAGCCCTTGACTAGACTATTAGCCAGGGCTCTACCTCTTGAGGTGTCAGCTCCAAGTCCACCTCTGCCTTTCTTTATAGTCTTCTAATAATCTTTTTTCTACCCAGTGCCTGGCAGCATTGCCTATCTGCTGCTCTCTTCGGCTCTGTATAAAAATGTCACTAGCCAGCAGCCTCCATGCTTAATTCAGACTGCATACCAGTTATAGTTGGCCTGTACTACATTGCCTTAAATGTTGTTTAAAAGCAAAGCAAAAACAGAATTAAGTGAGTTGCCAACATTTTTAAATTGGAAGATTTTACATAATGACTCGGTTTTTCCCTGCCATCTTTTCAAGCATTAGAATATCTGGGGCATTGTGCATTCTTTCTTCACAAGGCAATAGAGGCAGGAAGTGAGCAGCAGCTGGTACATTTTGATAGACGCACATGCACACATTCTCTAGCTAGCTGAAACTTCCACATGGCCTGCTCCCCTCCATTATTCATAATATCTAGTGGGCCTGTCTTTGCAATTCTTCCATTTATTCTGAGACAGATGAAAGACCATTCTGTGAGATCGAAATTTTTTATTTCTTAGCTCTTCTCCTTCAGAAAATTTCAAAATCATAAGCTTGGTTTTATCATCTTTCTTTAATAATGAAAACCTTGGAAGAGTTTATTAAAGTGGATTTGCAAAATTACAAGGAGAATCGGGTTTTTTTCCTTTGAAGGATTACTATAAGATCACTGGAGATCAAGAGCATTGTCAACAGAGCCCCAGTGACAATATGGTTTATCAAAAGCTTTGCAAAAAGTCTCCTACTCATAACATTCTGAGACTAGGAAAGAAGCAAAACGTCCTTTAACTTAAATGTCAATTGTATTTCATTTTCTAACATCACTAGAAGGTGACACAGCTAATGCCAGCTTACTTTCAGCAATGGAGAACTCGCCACCCTTTTTGAACTAAGCCCATTTTTGAACAGCTTTGACTACTGGAAAGTACAACGGAGCCAAAATTTATCTCCATGTAACTTGGGCTTGTGGGCCATCGTTTTATTCCTTGGAACCCTGGGGAACAATTCTATTCATGGTTTATGAATAGAACCTAAATAGCCTTTAGATATTTGAAGCTGGTATGTTTCTGAGGCATTTTAATGCAGCTAAATATTTGCAGTTCCTTCCTTCATTCCTCACTGATGCTTGCAGCCAGCCTCCTAGTCACAGTTCTCTCTGTATATTATCTGCTCTACACATTTGGCCACAACCAGTCCTGCCACTTCCTGTACACACAGCACTCCTGAAATCAACAAATCAACTGTTTCACATGCATCCTACCTCCCTTTGAATCGGAGCTGGCCTTACAGTAGCCAGTTTCATCCTTAGCTTTAAAAAGGAGTTTCAGTTTTCCCTTTCTCTCTCATTTAAAGGCCATATCAGAAATATAATTGTTTTGAGATCATCAACTGTGAGGAAGGGAAAATAGTATAGAGTGAGTGATCCCTGGTTGCCCTCCAGTTTGCAAAGACGTGCCGGGTGAGAAGCCACATGTGGGTGAAGTAACAGCCATTCTAGCCAGGAACACTTCCTATTTGGGCTAACTGAAGACTATAGAATCATGACAATGAAACAGCTGTTTCACCCAGGATTTTACATGACAATAGAAGTTAAAAGTTGGCTAAGGCTTGGAGACATGGCTCATCCATTAAGAGCACAGACTGCTCTTGCAGAGGGTCAGAGTTTGGTTACCAGTACCAACATCAGATAGCTCACAATTGGCTGTAACTCCAGCCCCAGGGGATCCAAGGCCTTTTTCTGGCCTCTGTGGGCACCTGCATTCATGTGGACGTACCTACACACGTACACATAATTAAAAAAAAAAAAACTTGGCCAAGGTATTCATAACTCCTTTTAGATGCACTCACAAGAATATACATGTATGTATGTGTATGTATTTCGTTTTCTCTTTAAAGAATTTACATGATCAGGCAAACAAAGTTTCTAAAAATCTCTAGCCTGTTTCTTATATACAAATGTTCCTAACTACAGAGACAAGAGCAGAAATGATGAGGGAAGTTAGTAGGAAATTAGTACTATTGCCTTAAAACACAACTGAGGTAACAATAAAACAAAGTTGCCTAGAACCAATGTTAAAGAACATTGGGATTTTGTAAAGGTCCAATCACAGAGTCTTTAATCATTTCTGACTGAGGTTGCACAATCATAAAGTTTGGGTGGAGCTAGGCCTTGGATAAGGACTCCTCCAAAACCCATGGATTAAAGGCATGGTCCCCAGCCTGTGGTGCTGCTGGGAAGTTGTGGATCCTTTAAGGGGAGGGGTTTAGTGTGAGGTTGTACACAAGCTCCTTCAGGAGGTTATGGGAAATTGTGGATCCTTTAAGAGGTAGGGTTTAGTGTGAGGTTATACACAAGCTTCTGCTGGAGGTTATGGAATCCTGGTCAGTTTCTCTCTCTCTCTCTCTCTCTCTCTCTCTCTCTCTCTCTCTCTCTCTCTCTCTAGCTGTCATATAGCATACCCTCCCTGCCACGTTTGTTGTCTTGCTAGAGACCCCCCAAGCAAAATGTAACATAACCATGGCCTAAACCTCCAAAAGATATCGCAGAGCACCTATAAAACGTAGACCCATCCACTTTGGGGTAGAGATTTTTGAAAAGGTCAGGAGTGCAACAGAGGGGAAGAATGAGAAAATGGAGCATATGCCGCAAGTCTGGACACTGTTCCCACTAACAGCAGGATTAGGTGTCCTTGCAAAAAGATATTACCCACTTTGTATCCTTTTACTTCTGACTCATTATCCAGGGCCTTCACTTGATCCCAGTTCAGGATAATTTTGGAGTCCGATGAATTCCATATGATGTTTCCAGGGGGTTGGCTTGGTGCTATATAAAAAAATTAAGATAGACGAAGTCACAGATTATTAAATCTCAATAGATTCTGAGGAATATCTCCTTACTAGAATTCAAGAGTGGAAGCAATTTAATGGGCTATTGCACTAATATGTGTCTTCAAGGTCACTGAAATCTGACGAGATACAACACTGCAAATGGAAAAAGATTCAGTTGGTCGCCTAACATTTATAGCTAAGAGAAGTAGCCCTTCCCAGGGAGGAGCAAAACATTTATCTTTCTGTCCTCTGGAGCAATGAATTTGGCATGGTATTCTGAAAGGTTCAGTTAAAATGCTAAGGTGAATTGGAATCCATATAATGATACCAATTAGTATGCAAATGCTCCCTGGGAGGTGGGGATAAGTAATGAACTTGGAATATGTTTGATGAATCCCCAAAATATTTCGGAGCAACTTTGTCCTTACGTGGCTTTCTGGTTGTGACATTGACTATGGCACTGGAGGGTCCTGTCCCAGCAGAGTTATATGCCTTGACAGCTAAGTGATACAGTGCACTCCCTTTTAGGTTGGTGATTTTTGTAGATGTCTGGTTTCCAACTGTTCGTATTTTTCTAGCGTTTTCTTCCTTGTCATCATGTCTCCAATATTTTACCTGAGAAAAGAAGAAAGACCCTGGAAATCATACCTGTTGGGGATATGTCCAATGTCATCAGGTAATAACATTTTTATGCCAGTTCTTATGATGGAGTTAATTTTCTATATCAATTCGTGAGCAGAGATTTTAAAACAAGGAGATGTGCATGCTCTGCAAAACTATCCACCACAGAAAAGACTCCTTTTTTCTTAGTTTTCTAATGAGATAGTCAATAAAGTAAATCATCCATAGATGGTTATTTATCCTGTTTTACCCATTTTTGTTTTGAGCCTAAGTGATCTTGGGCATATCATATTCTTTTAAGATTTTATTTTTCAATTGCATGCGCACGTGTGTGCATGTGTGCATGTGTGTGCAAGTACATGTGTGTTTGGGCACTTGTGCAGGGACCCACAGAAATCAGAAGAAGGTGTTGGATCCCTGGAGCTGGAGTTACAGGGAGTTTTAAGCCACCCATGAGTCACCCAATGTGGGTGCTGGGAACTGAACTTAGGAGCAGCACATGCTCTAACCTCTGAGACATCTTTCTAGCCCATGGGCATATCAAATTTCACTCATTTTGCTAACCATCTCATAAATGCTTAGCTCTTATATAAATGCATACACATATATAATTGTAATATGTATATGGAAATATTCCACTAAACGAGCATAAACATAGATAAGGGATAGTGTCACAGTGGATCCTTTCAATGTTTCCATTAGAAAAAAAGCAAATCTCTACAACAAATGCCTGTGTGGGGCAATGTGGGTGTTTTCCCATCACAATGTGTCTGTAGAAGTTTCACCATGAGGCATGAACCAAAAACACAGATATCTAACTTACCTCATAACCTTGAATCCGTCCTCTATTCTTTCCAAGAGGGGAAGCCCAGAAAACTTCAATATCTGTGGCAGAAAGACTTCTGGCAAAGATGCTGGCTGGTGGTTTGGTGGGTTCTGTAGACGAATTCAGAAAAAGTTACTGCTCTATCAGCTTCAACAGGGCAAGCTTCTAGAAATGGTGTCAGAAGGCAAAAAAAACCCCACCACAGTTATAGAATTGTCCTTAAAGATTGTGAAACACACATCATTTCTCAATGGATAAATGACTATCATGTGTAAGATGGTGGTTAGGAAAGACACATTAAAGTCTTTGAGTTCCATATTGCAAATAAATGGAATTGTAATAACCCAAGACCAAGTTTAAGCAACAAGTTTTCATGGTCATCAATTCTGTCAACTAGAGTTTTCCTAGTTAGATTAAATTAAATTAAAGTCTCAGTTGTTGGGTCATGAAAATAAGAGAGGAAAAATAAACAAGGGCAATTAACTGGTTTGACCACAATTCAGGAAAGCTGGGGAGCAGTGTAGTTCTACACCATACTCTCTAAACTCATGGTCAAGTCATTTATAGTCTCTGGGGTTCATAGTTTTAGCTGCAAAGAACAGGTTGAAACAAATGTTTCCCGAATTCCAGCTATTTTTTTGCCATATTTTGTTAGAGTTGTGAACCATTTGTATATATAACTTCTCTTTCAATATTCTATCTTAAAGAAAAATCTAGTTTAGCCATGTTGTAACAATGACATTCACAAAATCCTGCAATAGATTGGATGGTTATATTCCTTTCTAATGCAATTAAAACCAGTGCACAACTAATTTGATGCTTTTAAAAGTTCATCTCTTCCAGGGACCCAATTCTGCAAGAGTTCTGTCTTCTTTCTCTTAAATTCTCACCTATGTTATAATAAAGCACCTTTTTGAACTAAAAGAAATTCATCTTGTATAGTTTAATATAAAGTTTTGTAGTCCTCTGGAACACATACTTCAGGAAATATTGGACATGGAGACCTCTGTTTACTTAAAACAATACAAGATTCTGCTTATGTGTTAGTTAATTCAAAATTTATTAAATGCCACTAGATCAAGGGCAAAAAAAATATCATCCATCCTCAGGAAATATCATCCATCAATAGAACAATCAAACTTCAAAACTTATAATAGTTTGTGATGAGAATTATAATAAAGGAATGTGCAAATGCTATAAAAAAAACTCTGATTGTAAATAATACTGAAGGAACTAGGAGATATCAAGTACTTATTGTGCTCAGCTGGCCTGGAGAACCACAGAAGGCCTTGGCTGTTTAAGGTGAGGCCAGAAGAATGAGTGGAAATTCACAAGGTGGGCAAAACAGGGAACAGGAGAAACTGAAGTATATGCAAGGAGGCTGAAGCTTTGGATAGTTTCAAATCCTCTGCTGTGGTTATAGTACAGGGCACGCAGGTGAGAGCTGTGGGAGTGGGCAGGGGGCAGAGGAGGGTCCATGGAGGGCTGCCGATTCTATGGAAAGTGTTTCTTCATTGAGAAAGAATATGTTGCATTTTGACTAATTCCAAACTAATGTCTCAACTTTCAGATGTTATCATATGATTTCATTTTGAATATCATCTTTAAAACAACAATGGTGAAGTCCAAGCATACTGAGCACTGTGTGAGAGGTATCCTGAGCGCAAGCACACCACAAAAGTGGTAATAACATGTGAGAACCCTTAAACATCATGACAGTGAACTGTACAATCATGCTGCTTCATGATATCCTCCTCCAAGAAGTTACAATCAGTACAGAATGGCTTAAAAACACATGTGGTGAGAGAGTGAAAATTTCTGTCTTGATGTTCATTTAAAAGAGTAAAATATGATTCCTTAAGAAGTAATGATAACTGATAAAAACAAGATATATGCATCAGCAGGTTATAGATACCTAAATAGACATATCTGAAGATGGTATACAGTACTTAACCATCTGTGTCCTTAACAACGCAACCAATTGATGGCTAGCCATGTGATTTTATATAAGCTAGATTTGTATTTTTGCTTTTAAGATAGGGTCTCAGTATGTAGCCCAGGCTGGCCTCAAACTTGCTATCCTCCTGCCTTAGTCTCCCAAATGCTGAGATTACTGGCATACACACAACAGCCTGAGTTGTGGTGTTCCTAAGCGATGTACAGTAGATAATAATGAACCAATGCTTTTATTTCCAGTCAGAATGTGCTTCTGACTTATATGTATTATACATTCTAAGTTGACCGAATATCCTGAAAGGAGCAGCATTTGAGAATTGAAGAAATATCAATATCCAGGTAATATGGACGTTACCTTCTTCAGCAGAATACACCAACGTAGTGGGACTGAAAGGGCCTTCCCCTTTATTATTGAAGACGCCCACTTTAACCTCAAAGGGAGAGAAAGGACGCACACTCTCATTCCTGAACACATATCTGGAGGCGTCGGCTGAGGCCAGTACTGTCAGCATCCATATCATTTTGCCATGTGGCCGAAAGGCCACCACGTAACCAAAGCCTCTGCCATTCTGTAACTCTTCAGGGACTGTCTGGGGAAGAAGGGAGGTGGAACTCAGAAAACACAGTAGTTTGATTCAAATATAAAGAGCAACCCCCATATTGTCGCTATCCCTTCACTTTCTTTAGGGGTTTTGTTAAGGTTTCTTTTTTTTTTTTAATTTAGGGCTGATCTGCAGTCTGTCTTAGATATTCATGTGGTATTGGACTGTTGGAAAGTTTAAAAAAATGAAATGAAGATGTGCCATGGAGAGTTGGGCTCTGGTGAGGCAGACTCAACTTGAAAACAGCTAGAAATGACGGCCAATTAACCACACAGTTGATGTCTTAAAACCAACACTTGCAACCTACACCATCTAATATTCATCTTCATTCAGTGCCAAGTCCACAGAGGACTTCACAGAAGGAATGAAGGCCATCTTGGTTTAGGCATGATCCTGCCTCTCAGAAGAGACTCAGAGCACAGATGAGGGGAAGCTGGGGCTTTTATTCTCTGCTGGGACTCTGAATGGATGAAAGACTTCTATTTCTGGGGACATTGTTTAGAATCTTTTGAACACATCTCAAACCTTTTATGAAGTTCCAACCTCCTCTCTCAAAATCAATTTTTAATAAGTTGGTGACTAACCTTCCTCCAGGTTGTTTAAAGAAATACCTCATAATATAGCAGCAAAGTCAACTGCTAGGAAATTGTGCTGGGACACTCAAGTCTATAGCTAGCAGACCTCTAAAATCAATTGGCCGTGCAGTAATTCAGAAAGAAAAGAAAAACTTGTTTTCTCTAAACCAGTCTTTTTATTTTTGACTCTTATCTTGTCTTTCATGATTGTTTTTCCTGTGAGGTATCAAATTAAAACTTGCTTCAACAATGGATGGGCAAGCACCTCCACTTCCTGATACCCATTAGCTATGTGAGAGGTGTTCGTACTCAAATGGATTTCGGCTGATGGAAATAGAGGAGGACAATTCCTGGCTTGTCACATGAAAGAAATAACAAAACAGCCCCAACAAATGTATATCCCTTTGGTTCTGTGACTCATTTACCTCCCAGGTTATAACCAGTTCAGATTTGCTGCCTCCACCACCACTGACGTTAGCTGGGGTGACTTCAGGTACTGAACAGGAGATAAGAAAACAAGTTATGGCAAATGGAATAGCAAACGAAGCAAACAAAGGCCAGGAAGGATGCCCAGATGGGGTGACTCACTGTCAGTGAACATTCTTTGGACATCAGAACTGAGGAAACAAAATGTCCCAAGAAAACTGCTATTAATTACCTGTTTTCGATTCAACAAGCTATACATGTTATCAGGCACCAGTGACCACTGTTCAACTACATCCCCTAGAGACCCAGGGGTTCCAGGGAGTAAAAAAAGCTCTGAAGGACCTGTCTTCAAGCTTGATTAGCTGTTTATTAACCATGCGGTGGTACACAAAGGAAAGACAGGACAAACTGTGCCCACGCGGAGCTCACGATCTAGTGGGTGGGAGGGAGTACACGCAGAGCAGCACAGAGCAACATGGACAACATCGAGGACCGTGCAGACAGAATGGAGGTGTGCAGTGGTTCTCTGGGGCAGCAGGTTGCTCAGAGGAGCTCTAGGCTAGTGCTTCTCAGAGGGTGAGTTTTGAGCTGGATGTTGACAGAAGTGATGGACATAGGTTGGCCCTTGGCTCACTGTGCTTAACCTCTCTGATCCCCAGTATTCTCTGTAAAAGAGGAGAAATCAGATTCACTTCCTTCTCAGCATTGCTGAGTGGAATCAATGTATGTTTTAGAAATGGGGAAAGAAAGCATGGCATTAACTATGCCATCATACAAGAGAAAGACTCCAGGCAGAATCTTTGAAAATATAGCTGGAGAATGTGGCTGTTGAATGGGTATATATCCTTGGTTAAAGTCAAGGACATTATCTAGATGGATTTTTTAAATTCTGGGAGTAGGGTGAGATTCTCATCTGCTTAGGAGCTTGCTAGTCCTTTGCAAATCATTGTTGTTCCCCAGACTGGGAACTCTACACCAACCACACAACAGAACCTCATTCACAAAGGAGTGCCTGAGTGACCCAGTGATTGCCTGTTACTCTTACCCTATCCTCATGCAAGTTATGTATGGGATGTTCTCATTCTTAACTTCTAGGAATGGTTTATGTCCTAAGAAATCCTAGTATAGATTCCTGAAGAAATTTTCTTTTACTGCTTGAAATTTTTTGGTGATGCAGGAACCAAAGACAAAAGCTGGCTTTTCAAAGAATGAAGTGCTAATGGTTCCAATGAGGAGGACTGAGGTCTTGATTAGAGTCACTACCTGCAAGGCTGAGATTCTTCTGGCCTAGTTTCTGATCATCATAGTCCTTTAAGGGAATGGGATTGTGAATACAGAGCATCACTGGGGCTAAAAAGCAGGAAGAATCCAAGGCCTCTCCCTAAGGAAGAGGAGCTGCCAGAGTAGACTGTGCACATCTTGAGTGCTACTCACGGGCCTCTTCTGTCCTTCGTTTCTCTGAGGGCCGGCTGGGTTCTCCTATGCCAATCACATTAGCTGCAACAGTGCGGAATTCATATTCAACCCAGGGGTTCAAACCCACCACAGTTGCTGTAAATGTCTTCCCATCAATGAGTTCTGGGACTGAAAGACATCAAAAGGTAGAAATGTTTCACAGATTTACCCATACACACACACACACACACACACACACACACACACACACACACACACTGCATAGATGATGTTGGGAACATCATTATCGTCATCATTGTCAACATCATCGGCTCATTCAGGCCATTGTAGTTATCTTATTGGCAATTGCACAAACTGTTGTTATGGTAGAGTAATCCCATAGAGCGCTCATACTAAAAACAGCTGATGAAATCATAAGGCACAAAGTCTTCACAGTCCAGAGCTACTTTACTATAATTATTATTCTCACTTAACATGTTTTTCTGCATTTACTATATAATGTCAAGCACATCTTTAATTCTTACAACTATCCTAGGAATAAAGCAAAATTATTATATTCATTTTAAAACAATTCTTATTAACAGAAGAAAATAAAGTTCTATAGAGATCTACTGATTAGCATAGTCAAGGCTAGAATTCATTGCTTAACTTCCAGATTTTTCCCATCTTTCTAAAGCATTTCTGTTGATCAGCAGAAAGTCGGTGATTACAGACAGAAACATAGAAAAACTTTTCTGAGGTTTGATAAACTAAAAAAATAATTGAGTTGGAAGCTTAACGTTAACATGATTTATTTTATATAAATTATAAGATTGGGTGTATAGCTTCATTTATTTCTGCTTCAAAATATCAAGGTCACACAGCCACCTCTTGGGAACTAAAGAAATACGTACTTTGTTTGCTAGAACTACTTATTTGTCCAAGTTTTCCTCAAATACAATCTAAGTGAAAAAAATGAGACATTGACAAAGGTAAAAGAATAAAGACCTAAAAAAAGAAATGACTAAGAAACTTTAAAAAAGATAAGAAATATAGCATAAATATTATGAATGAGAGAAGGAAGATGAAAATCCTGCTGCTACTGGTAATAATAGTATTGCATTTGAATTTGATTTGTTGTTTGTTTTTGGTTGTTTGTTTGTTTGGGACAGGGTCTCCCTGTACCCTTGGCTGACCTGGAACTCACTATATAGACCAGGCTGGCTAAGGTCTCATAGAGATCCACTTGCTTCTGCCTTCTGAGTGCTGAGATTAAAGGCATATACCACCATACTCAGCTTGATTTGAATTTGAGATGCCCTCACAGGCTCAAGCCTTAAAGGCTTATCCCAGGCTGGTGGTGCTACTTAGGGAGGTGTGGGAACTTTAGGCAGGGGGCCTAGTGGAGGAGGTAGGCCACTACCACATTCCGTTGGAAGGTGTCTTGTCTTGGCCCCTTCCTGCCTTTCTCTGTTTTCAAGCCACAATGAGGTTTGCAGCTCTGCATGACCATGTTCCCTCCACCATAAGCATAAGCTTCTGCCTGTCCTCAGCAACAGAGCCAGACAACTTGGACCAAAATCTCTGAAACCATGAGCCAAAGTAAATTCTCTCCCTTCTTAAATTGTTTCCTCAAAGTATTTGTCATAATGGCAACAAGTTGGACACAGAGGGCTTAAAACATACAAACACATGCACACACACACATACATACACATACACACAAAACACACACATATACACAAAGCACACAAAACACACATATGCACACATAACACACAGATACACAACACACAGATACATAGACACAAATACAAACACACATACACATAACACACATAACACATACACACAAATACACACATATGTATTCATATACACACAACACACACAGAAATACATATGCTAGCACAGCATTTTGAAATTGACTAAAATATTTTCAAAGTCCTTCATCTCCAGAGTAATCCACGTACTGGTTGGACCAGCAGGCCAAAGGCTCCACAGAGTTCTTAGATACCACATTCTAGAGAGCTGTATATGAACCTTGATAAAACTGATTATAAATTTGCCTTCTCTACTACTTTCCAAAGTGAAGCACAGTGGTATACATATTATTTCAGGTAATACACAGATCAATGCATTTTATTTTTATAGATACTTTTAAACATGCTAAGAAAATAAAAATAACTGATACAACACACCGATCAGTCCACAGATACTATTTCTTGGGATGAATAAAACAAACATGAGTTAATATGAAGGAAAACATTAAACATAGTGGAATTGCTTCAGGTCTGGACATAGAGCCAAAGTATATCACTTGTAGCTGTGTCTACCTAGATCCTTCCTCGTTTCTCCCATAATTCATTTTGCATTATGCTGAGATTCAGAAGTCTCTCACAGACAATATGGTACCTGTACTGACTGCTTGCCAGCCCACGGAGAATGGAGTCCTGGCTTGGATGACATACATGGTGATGGGGCTGTGGTTGTCAGGTCCAGCTCTCCAGGAGAGCTGAGCAGTAGTGTCTGTGATTTCATCTATAGTCATGGCCTCTGGAGGACCTGGAGGGCCTGGGAGAGAGCAAGCCATTCAGAATTGGACCTGTGTGTGAATGTCCAAGTACATCATCACCCACTTAAATGAAGTGCTGACTCAGTCACTTATTTACCCACTCGCATATCCATCACATCAATTGGTTTTTGAATACCTGCCTAGGGAACATGATCTCTACTCAACTTTAAAACTCTAAAGATGAATTGACACATGCTGCTTCATTTCAGGGGCTGGTAGAATACAGGAAAAAACCTAATAGGTAAACAAAGTATTATAATAGAATATCTTGATGCTAACAGACACCATCAGAGCCCAGACTCATCTCTCCATTATTTAGTTTCCTAGTATGAATCAGGCACTGTTATCTGGGGATACCGTAGTGGCAAATTTCATGCAAACCAATCTGCTAGTAAAGGCCATTTCTACACTGAGGATTTGGATTTGAGCAGAAAATGATGTCACAGTCTGGGTGTCATAGTCTTGATCTGTGCATTCTGCTGTAGTGTAATTATAAGCACCACCAGCCATGTGCCATCCTCACTACATCTAGTAGTGGCACACACTCACATGCCAGGGAACTGCTATGAAAACGGAGAATGTTCAAGTCACAAGATGAACCTCCCTGCCAACCCCTCCCCCCCACAAGCCATGTCAGAACTGGGATGGAGTCCCTCTTGGACATTTCTGTAAGTCATACCTCTGTCTTTCTACTTTTCCTCCTGGTGTTTATTGCTTCTGACTATGCATTTAAATAATGAAAGAGGAACAAATAGATTTAACTGAAGGTTTAGCGATCATAAAGAAATAGGGGCAGAAAAAAAGTGGGAGTGGGTGGTCAAGCCCAACAGCCATTAGACAGGTGTAAGAAAAGATACCTGGAGGAATTTGCTAATCTCCAGTATAGCAATCCAACCTGTTCCCAAAAGACTACTGGGCTACGCCACAGGTACCTGAGACCTCTTGTGGCATGGCAAAAAGTTTGTGGCAATTTCCCAAAGTAAGACTTTGTTCTGGGATTCACTCCTTCATCTTTATGCAAAATCCTACCTTCACTCTGCTTTTTTTTTTTAAAATCACTTTTATTGACTCACAGGTAAGGCTAAATTTATCTTCTTTCCCCTACTCCTGAATGAAATGTCTGAAAATCTGTATGCTGGAACTGATTAATTTTCCATGGTGACATTTCAGCATGTCAGTCTAATGCCATCTAGACAGAGCTGAGATAACCTTTGGTCTTTACCCCTAATAATCAGGTAAAGTCTAGACAATATATTCTCCTTTGTATCTAACCAGCTTTCTCACCCTACTCTTTCTGTGTTTGTGTGTGTGTGTGTGTGTGTGTGTGTGTTTGTGTGTGTGTGTGAATGTTGCTTGAAGGCATTTAGAATCTACCACATACAGAAAAGTGTTCTCTTTCCACTGCTCAAAGAATTAAATCAATAGTAGGTATCTGAATCCCTTTGTGGCCACAGTGTAAGAAGGAAACGAGGGTGGTTTGAGCTTGGTCACCGGAGGGAGTATAGCTATGATCTTACAGAGTGTTTATTTTATTTTAGAGAAGTTGGGTGCCTCTTTCAAAATGACAAAAATGTGTAAATATTTGTCCTTCAAGCAAAACAACATGTTCATGTCTCAAACAGTAGCAAAAAGACTACTGTTTTGCTGTTGGCATGTACTTCTTGCTCAGGGAAGGGAGGTCTTGCTAGTGGTCAGGAGAATGCTCCAGATTAAGTAAAAGGCATCAGAGAATGAAAGTTTCAAAACTACACTGGCTCCAAATATGAAAATCTCTCTTTTTAAAATATTTTACTTATTATTTTTATTTTATGTGTTAGGGTATTGCCTACATGTATGTAAGTACACCTGTGTCATGCAATGCCCACAGAGGTCATAGGAGGGACATCGGATTCCCCTGGAACTGGAGTTACAGATGGTTGTTAGCTGCCATGTGGGTGCTGGAAATTGAACAAACCTGGGTCCTCTGCATGAGCAGCCAGTGCTCTTAACCACTGAGCCATCTCTTCAGTCCCCTGAATAAGAAAATCTCTTAAGGACAATGAAATACATTTTTTCTTCCCCATTGTAATGTGCATAAAAGATGCATGGACGGAGCAGGAGGAGATAAAATGAAAGATTATGGCTCTAAATGTCATATTAATTTATTGGCCTTATTAACTGATTAGACTAGATTTTCTTTTAGACTGCGTTTGCAAATTCCTCTTGGTATTCAGTGTTATTTTCTGTGAAATGAAGTATACAATATCATTTAAAACTTCAAGTATTACTGATTTAAATATTTATTAGTCTAATTTATTGGTGTTTAAACTGCTGATCTGAATATTATCCTAATTAAATAGAGGATAAATTTCCAGCAGTAGAGTTCTTTTGTCCCTAAGGGGAGAACAGACCAGCTTGGGTGTTTTAAAAATGGAAATAAACACATTTCTAAAAGTTATTCTGAGGGTAGATCTACCTAGATTGTAAACAAAAACAAAATTTTTAAAATCTCTTATCTCTCTTACCTGGCCTTTATCTGCAGGATGGTTGGTGTTCTTTCTAGGCAATTTAAAGGTAGCTGAAGCAGTCACGATGGAAATGTAATTTTTCTTTAACCTTTCTTGACAATTAAGTTGCTAATACCTACACGTTTCCTCCTCACCTTCTGCCTAGGGCAGATGGCAACATTTTTTCTTGATTCTCATATCACCTTATTCCCTGTGCTCTCAGATTCACCTGCCTCCAAGTGTGATACCCAGTATTTGTACTTTCATGCAATCAAAGTTCAATCACCGGCCCAGCCAGCTGTCCAAAGAGTCTCATCACCAAGGGTTAGGGATTCTGATGAAGGAGTTGAGACTGGATGGGGGTATTGGATTATTTTGAGTCTCTGCATTAGCTTTAATTAATTAATCTGTTTGTTTGTTTGTTTGTTTGTTTGTTGTTTGTTTAGCACACCTGGGAATGTAGCCCAAGGCTTGATGAATGCTCTAACACTGAATTACATCTCCAGCCTAACTTCAGTTTTAATACTTTAGAACCCCTCTGAACATTCATAGGTTTGATTCTGGTGGCTAGACAGGTTCAGAAAGCTTTTAATTTGCTTTTCTGTTGTTTGTGTTTTTGTTTTGTTTTCAGAAGGGCCTCCCTATATCCCAGCTGGCCTGGAACTCACTATGCTAAGTTGGCCTTACATCTCACAGAGATCCACCTGCTCCTGCCTCCTGAATGCTGGGATTAAAGGGGTACACTACCGCACCTGGCTTGATTTTCATTTTTTTTAAATGGTTTTTAGTAACTACATGGTTAGAAGCTTTTCACTACAGCTTTAACATATTCAGTAACATACTCCAGAGCAAGTTTCTAGGTTCACAGTTGAATTAATATCGTTATATATTATTGAACACAGTATAAGCCCTGTAAGACATAAAATTGGATGAGTTTTTAACCTTTAAAAAAGGTCTCCATTTCATTTTAGAATATATTGTTCCTTGAAGACTCATTGTTTTTGCTACTAACACTGAGATGTTGGCGCTTGCATCTCTAATCTGTATGTATCTCATTATTACTAGTCATAATCGGTTGCACTTGGATCCTGTGTATGTTAAAAATTTTTTTAAAAGTATAATTATTAAAAAAATGATAATTCTTCAAAGTATAAAAATTTGCCCCTTAGTAATTAGTAAATGTGAAAAAAATTATCATTGAAATCTATTTGATGACTTTATATCCATGCTCAGTTGCCAAGGATCTCAGAAAGTAACCAACTGTGACTAGTAATAATCAGATATATAGAGATTAGAGATGCATGC